AATGGATCCCTGTAGTGCAAATGCATAATATTAATTTCTTAGCTTTTGCATAATACTGTAGAAGTGCTCATTTAGTTCTAAGAATTGTTACATATCAACTTAATTATAGCAGGACTTTATTTTGAAATTCATAATGAGTTCAGTAACCACAATATTGGTAAAAAATGGAGCCCACTGAGATTGTACTGAGCATTTAGTTTTGGAGTTGATTAGCTTGTTTTTTGCAGAGCATGGGGGAATATATTTAATTGGATGCAGATCATTTCAGCCTTTGTAAATACCCAGCTTCAAATGCCAGCAATCATGACAAAACCACTTCACAGTATTGTTTTTTAATTATGCTCTATATAAACCATTTAGATGTCTAAATCATTTCTTAAAAATATTTCTATGCCAAGAAATAATTTCAGGGGTACTGAAATTATTTTCATATAAATAAAATATGCAGATCTCATTCGAGCACAATATTAAAACCAATTCACAACTAGGCACTTTTACTGAAAGCTCAACAAAATTAGTCGTATTGAGACACTTGGAATTTTATAAAATGGGTTCCTACAACCACAACATAAATTATTTCATGGGGAATATGCCTGGCCCATGTGTAGTAGGATAGAATTGCGACTTCTGCTCCATTTGACTTAGTGAAATAGCCTGAGGTATAAATATTGTAGTACTTGTTTCTGCCCAGATCTGTTAATATAGATAGACTCTTTCTGTTGTTCTCCTGATGGCATGGATGTCATGTAGAATGTGCACCCTAAACCCTCTCTATTCTCTGTAATATTTCACAATATGTCTTTGTTTATCAAGTAAAATAAAGAAGCAATCTAAAATGTGCCCTGATTAATCTCGTTAGCCATTGCAACGTGTTATTAACATTAATATGAATAGCGCAGAGCTGGTTTTCATAATGCAGGAGACCAGTGGTGATAAATCACCTTCCCACAAGTCAAGCGTATCACATGTTGAATAATTTGAGCCACTAAACTTCAGTGGTCCTACAGTACATCTATTTGATGGTATTTGTAAAAGACACAAATAAGTATACAAAGGCACAATGTTTAAAAAAAACAACAATTTTCATATGAAACTACAGTAAATGTCATGTATTTGCCTAATCACCTATTAGTTAGGCAGTTAGATGTTTTAGAGACCTTCAGTAATTCACATTAAGATAGATTTAGAGAACTATTGTTTCCTTGAAATGTTCTTTGTACTAGACATTTCTATCACAGGCTGCGTCCACCACTATTTAGGAACCTTGAATCTACGGGATATCAGATAGTTATCAATTGTGAAGACAAAAATGTACTCTCAGGAATGTACTGTAACTGGACAGTTGGGCTCATTTTGCACTTGTGCCGTGAATTTCGGTGATTATGTACTGTATCTTTAGTGATTCACAATACTACCTGATAGGTGGAGCCTGAATATTGGTGACTGCTTTTGGTCTGTTTATCAAGGTGAAGGTGGTGCCACTGGCCATACACAGCTGCTCTGCATTTTACAATCCACCAACAGACAGGACAAGAAGCACTATAGCATTTCTGCTTGGCGTTATTAATACAATTTCCTGGCACAGTGGAGTGAACCTGAAGTGTGTGTCCATCGTCCCATTCTCAATGGAAATCTCGGATAAAGACCTGTTCAGATTGCTGCAGATTCTTAAATGGATGCACCACCAAAACATGTTTAAAATGAGAATTTTCTTTTGTTTCTCAAATCATTTTTCCCATATCATGTTATTGTTGTCAGCAGTTCACTTACACTTAATTATTTTTAGAATAAAAACTGCAGAGGTACAGTATAATTGTATTGTTTATGTCTCCTTTATCTGCAGTTCCTCTAGTGGCAGCATAACGTGGGCCACAAGAGAATGAAAATGTGAATTTGTATTTAAGGTGTGTAATACCAGGACCATATATGTTTCTTCAGTGCATTTCTCTTTTATTAGATTTACTGAATTAAAAAATGTATATATATATATTTCTGCCCACCAGTGAACTCACAGGGATGGAATTCTCATTTCTACTTTAAATATTGCTCTGAATTCATTTAAGTGCAATGGTTCATTTTAATGGACATAACACATAAAAGTAAATGTAATTTAAGAGAAAAAGAAAATTACAGAGCAGATGTAATTACATGAGGTGTGATTACGGGATTAATGTTTGACCTTCGGATGTCAGGCAGGTCAGTGTTTTACTGTCACAGCTCAGGAAAATGGCTGCACCCCTCTGGCACTGAGAAATAATGGGATGCCACAATTTTATTCCTCCAGTTTGGATTAAAAAATTAAAAGGCTAGATACATTTTTCTTTTACTTGTCTGATATGTAAGCATAATCAAGATTTGTTTATTAATTGTTCACTTCACTAATAATATACATAAACCTGTAGAGTACTTTATGTAACTTCATTTGGGGGGGAGAAAAATATTAAGTGGGATATGTACACAGTAACCAGAGTTTGTTCCACACTGGTGACGGAATTCTTCAATTCTGAAAGCATGTTTGGTTTTGTGCCTTTCTCTCTGTTTTGGCCAATTGCTTTTATTTTATTAGAAATAACATTAAAAACAAACAGTTGGTTACTAGAGAATACACAATATGACCTAAATGTCTTTCAGAAAAACCAAAAAACGTGCATCTCTCAGCACAGTTCATCTGCATTCTAATCATATTCCATTCTTATTGTTTTATGGCTGTTTTATTTTCTTTTTAATTTGGAATAACAAATTATTTTTGTTAAATACAGGGCCAGCAGGGACCTCTTAGCTTTTTAAGAATGTGTAATAATAATAATAATAATAATAATAATAGCAGCCGTAAGAACATTGAGCAAACAACCAGTCTCAAAGTCTCAGCTAGACAGAGACAGACCCTATGGCAGGGAGTATAAACATGAGTTCAGAACTGTGTTGGAGCCTGTTTACAGCTTAAAGGAGATGATGTTTAAAGGTGAAGAAGATCTTGGTTGTTCATGCTCATCCTCCTCCAGGGACCCTTTGAAAGTTGTGTGATGCATCTTGGGGAAGGCCAGTATCAGCTAGCTCCAGATTCAAACCAGTGATACACAGGGCCATAGCGACATCATGGTGCTCAACAATGGAGCCTCAAGGTTCCATGTTATTTGGTATGAAGCTGTGTGGGGTTTGAATGTTCAAGGTTTGAGTGATTTCCCAAAGGTGTGCAGGTTTCTGAGCACAACCAGAAATCATGAGTGGAATGAAGAAAATGTGTACTCTTTGTGTAACCTTCGAGTCCTGCCTTACTGCTCTTTGGGATGTGCATGTTCATCAGATGTCTTGTTAAGAGATGATATCTCCCTCCAAGTTGTATTCTGACCTCCGTGCATAATGTTTATAAGAAATCCATACCCCTGCATACCCATTTATACTTTGGGAATATCAGCTGTGTTTGTTGCCTTTAACATCAAGTTTTATATGCTTAAATCTACATTAAGTAGTATGAGTAACATACTAAAATCTGATACAGTAAGAGTATCGTATATTAGTACAGTGTGACATATTTGGGAAGTATATTTGTTTTTTTTTATTGAAATTGAATCTGGGTTTTGTGTTGAAGATAATAAATGAAATGATGTAGAATATATTCCAAGTGAAGCAGATTGATTGATGTCCATCTACAAATAAGTTGGGAAGTGTTTTGTTTAAAGCACCAATATTAATGATCTGGATGAGAATAAAGCCCCAAGAGCTAATTGGCACAGTGTTGGAACAAACGAATCTGCTTGTGTCTCACTGCAGTTTTTTGATTGGCAAGCACACTTCAACGAAACAAGAAATTATAGGTCACTGGTTTGCGAAGAAACTACTGTCCAAGCAACCGCTGTGGAGACCATGAAGGCCAATATTATATCGGGTCTCACTGGCTACACTTCACCAGTCATTCTTTTAGATGTGTTGACAGGACTTCCTGTGGGGCTCTTTGATAGATGCAATGCATCAGTGTATCTCAACGGGTTGATAAAGGAGAAGGCAATGTTTTCATCCCCAGAGTGCAGCTGCAGACAGGCTGTTTACTGTAAATCCTTGCTGTGTGTGTCAAGAAGCTCAGACTATCTTGCAAACAGTGTGGAGCTCACATCCTGCGTGTACGGCTCAGGAGGTAACCCATTTGTGAGAAGATAGCTGGGTTAGTGGCACATATTTCTGAAAAAGAAATTGATCAATACACCTTCCCCCACTCCTCATCAGATACATGTCACAATCTGTACAAGTTACTCATATTTTCAGCATCCAAACTGTACCTTTTGAACAACTGAGTTCTGAGGTATATGATCATATTGAAAAATACTGCAATTATTACTTTTGTATACAGTACACTGAATAGCAGTTTGTTTGCACCTCTCTAGAAATGTAACAATCATACATTGATACAATCATACAATCATACATTCAATCTTCAGTTGCTTGCCTTCAAATTCCATACACTCGGCTCCTTTTAGGTTTTTTAATTTTTTTTAAACCAGGCTATTTCATACATATATTTTTTTTCTACTTTACATTTATTTGTTTGCAGATGCTTTTGCAACCACTGTCATCACGTGGTCAAGATGCACAGTAAATGGCGGAGATAACTTGCATAAATCAACAGTAAAACCACAAAAACCAGTAAGAACAGTGTTTATTAAATGCTAGGATGTTGCACTTTGTTTAGGAGTTTCAGTGCTGATTGACTGATGGGCAGTTGCAACACAGTCAGTCAGTGGGGGTTAGTCATGAGCCTCTGGGATCAGGTACATCCTAATCCTAAAGTGAAGAGTTTTCAGATGGTGGGTGAGTTTGCAGTATTGACTGTTAAATAGGTAATTTCACCACTTAGGGGCAGTGCAGAGAACAGTCGGTTTTGGGGCTTTTGAACATTGGCCTTGGCCTTGCCAGTCAGCTCGAGGAACCACATCTTCGGGTGCAAACAGGAACGTGGGGCCTGATGGTGATCTGGATTTTAAAACGAGTGCCTTTTTTTGCTACAGGAACCACAGTGATGCGAATGACTGCATACGATGCAGATGACCCCAACACCGACAATGCTGTGCTTCGATACAACATCGTTAGACAGACCCCTGACAAGCCTTCACCAAACATGTTCTACATCGATCCAGAAAAGGGCGACATCGTCACTGTGATCTCCCCTGGGCTGCTGGACAGAGAGGTAACGGGAGTTCTGCCACCATGGCCTTGATTCACGCCCACCTCAGTGGGCTGTAGTCTTTATTTCTGTTAAAACACCGATTCAAAATAATCTCCAAAACAAATTCAAGATGTTGTCACTCTCAGGTGTGATGTACACATTACCGAAAATTTTCTCTTCGGACATGACAGGAAAAGGAGAAATTGGACAGGAGAAAGGAGAAATTTGGATATCTCCTCCTTTGGATATCTCTTGCCGCACTCATCTGAAGGAATTGTCAATTGAGTGATATTCATGTCTTACCTGGCAGCTGTAAAAGTCCTATGATCACACACCAGAGTGAGGAGGAGTAGGCAGAACACATCACAGCATTGGCAATTGTCTTCATGAAGGCAGAAGAAGTAAAAAGGGGATATTCTTTATCCAGGGCTTCTTATACTTTACTTTAAACTTCTTCAGGGAGGTTGCCATATACAGTATCATTGATATATACAAATGTAAGTGAATGAAGTGTTACTGGAACTTAAGGCAATAATGTAGGAAAAATAAAAGTGAAGATCAGTGATTTTAAAGGATACTTTATAAATGCATTTGTATGGTTTGTAAAGCCTTCACTTCTAATAGGTGCAAATAGTTCCCCCCACCTTAAAAAAGATCAATTCCCCTGGAAGGAACCAAAAATGAGCTAGACTTTGGGCAAAGATTATCCATGAGCCTTTTAAGAGAAAAAAGTATGAGAGGCTGGATTGAAATTATTTTCCCCATATTGTATTATTACCCTTTTAGACAAAAATAAATAAAAAATATAAAAATTACTCTTGGGTGGAAAGCAATTTAGAGAAAAATGGAAAATCAATTTTGCCAGAATGACATCAAGCAGATTTTTTTCTATGGCAGGTTTCCTTGGTATCAGCCTTTTTACATTTTTCACAAAATGTTTTTTTCCACGGTTTTTGTGTTTTCTTCCACTAGTACTCATGGATTGCTTTGATTTTGGATTTTACAATTCAAATGGACACTGAATACTCATGTGGGAAATACATTTCTGCTTAGCTGGTATACTGGTATGCTGTAATTAACTTTTTATGCCAGTGAAAGCAATTAGTGAGAGATCTTTGTGGCAATGAAGTAATTGGACATGAAATGGAAGGAAACTAAAACTTAAACATAAAGTAGTGCCAGTCATCTGAAGCTCTGTGGGTTCTGTGCAGATTTGTATCCACTGTAGAGGTTGATAAAAACACCACATGTCATAATGCCTTGTAACAGAGAACTAAAATAAGTGTAATGTTTCCCTAATATCTATTTAATGTAAAAACATATTCAAATAAATATTCATCAATGTCTTTTCTGGAAATATCTTAACCTTAGATCCCAAACACCTATAGTATTATTATGGCATACTCCTAATAATATTTTACTCTTACACAGTCACGTAGCAGAAAGTGTTTTCCAGTTTTAGAGTTAAAAACATGAAAATGTATGGCATTTGATTAGCAGGCAGAGTAACCTGCTGTGGCATATTGCTTCAGTGTGAAATTTGATGTACTCATTCTTACATAAACTGTCCATTAACATCTTGCTCCCTGGCATGCATTTTGAAATAACAGTTTATGATATGTGTTTACATCTACAATATGCCACTGATGGATCAAAGCTTTAGTGAGCTATGAAGGATAGCTGTAATTAGCAATGAGTGGCACATACCGTCAACACACAGCTCTGTCAGACAAATATCATCCAATACATATCCAAAAGCATTAAGACATAAACAATTTACTGCACGTCTTGTGTACAGCTGCTTTTTATCCTATTTCAAAGCTAGTCTGCAACCTACCTGCAAGGTAAAGTCACTTTGAATGCACGTTTGGTACAGAACGTATCAGGGCTTTGTGACCCAGAGGAGGTCAACACGGGTTTTTCTGTTGTCTTTGCTCTAATTGAATTTTGTAATGAGGCAGACTAAGTGAATTAAGGACATTAAATTCCGCATTGGCTGAGCACATTTTGGCCTGAGGGCAACACTGGCATGTTTTTTGCAAAGTAAATGGCCATCTGCTGTGTGAGAAATGTAGGGCCGGATCTTCAGGTCCACTTGAAGACTTCAGGCTTGCCAAATGTCTTGATAGCAGAAGGTTGAACATGAGAGCTGCTATGACCCACGGGGCAGAAATATTCAAAGTAAAACACAACATAGAACGTGGTATGATGACACATCTATGGTTTGCTTTAAGTGGGTGCAATAAACAGCATTGCACCCAAATAAAATTGGTAAGAAGGGTTTAAAGCTGAGGGGCACAGTGGGACGCTGGGGACCTGGTTTCAATTCTGGGCCTCAGGTGCTGTCTGTGTGGAGTTTGTATGTTCTCCCTGTGTTCGTGTGGGTTTCCTCCAGGTGCTTTGGTGTTCTCCCACTGTCCAAAAACACACTGGTAGGTTCATTGGCTTCTTGGTGCGTTCTCCTGGGGTGCATGTGTGCACTCTGCGATGAACTGGCATTCCCTTCAAGCTGTACCCTGCCTTGGTTCCATTGCTTGCTGGGATAGACTCCGGCTGCCTCCTGACCTGGAATTGGAAGAAGACGTGCCAAATAAACATTTCTTCCACCTGCCATTAAATATCCCTGACACATTAGTGTGCAAGACTCTATTACTACGGTACTTGAGTTTCTAAGTTATAAAACTTTGACAGAGCCTGCTGGGAAAATACAAGGTTGTATTTTTTGCCAAAGGGTAATGGCTTCTATATTCTATATGAGTGACATATTGCTTCATATTATTTGAGCTTTACATGTGACAGATGCCTCTAGCTAACAGAACGATGGAAATCTGGACAGGTTGATTGATTGATTTTCTTAAATTCTTAGGGCTGGGGTACTTTTAACAGAGGTGTGAAAATTTCCTGAAACTGCTTTTGCTCTCGGTTACTTGGTTTGTTTGTAAATTAGTATGGATAGCAAAATAGCTCTACTAATATACGCTCATGTTATCTGTACGCAAGCATGCCTTTGCTAACCCTGTCACTGCCCATCACCATCATCTTTCCCTTGGAGGCGTCATTTAAGAATTATTTCAGGTCAATGAGCAGTGTTATTTAAAGCCCTGAGGAACAAGCTTGTGAAGTTTATACTGTTAATTTTGTACTTCTTTTTTTTGCCTTATTAATATACCCACTCTGTTACTGTACATTGAACCAGGGCTTCAGGACTGAACTTGACAAGAGAAAAAATAAACCCTCTTTTTATGCCCAAAGCACTTTTAAGTGTATTTCAGAAGCATGTGGTGCTATTAAAAATATTGTGAGAATTAGTCCCATGGTGCCAGTATACCAACATTCACTCCACCTGGCCCGAAGGGACAAACCTTAACTGGATTAAAGAGTAATACAGTTTGTGTGTTTATTGAGGCTTTGCTTTTACAGTGGATATTAAAGTGACCCAAGGGGAAGGCAAAATATTGAATTCTAAGTCTTTGGTGCCAGGAGTAATTCAAGTAATACTACTTCGAATTTTCTTTGGCTCTTTTCTTAGCAAAACCTTGTGTACTGCAGCACAACCTGACAGCATGTGCTTCCAACAGCACAAATTATCTGACAGGTTTTTTTTTTGTTTCAGATGTCTGAAAGTCTAAATGATGTTATTTTCTCACAGTGTTGCATTCTTAAGGTTTGCTTTTCATGCACTACCGCATTAAACATTTGATAAACATAGGAGACATAGAAGCAAAAAAATCATACTTTCCAATCTTACCGTATACAGTTTACCAGATTCTCCATGCTTCTGGCATTTTTCTTTGTAGGTTGGCCCCTTGCTTAATGATGACTGGCCTATATTCGAGACCCACTGTTTATAAGGTTTCATGTTTATAATGTTAAGTCCATAAATCACATAATATTACAAATACAGTCATGACTATGTCATTAGTCCAGTCACGTTTTCCGTTTTTTTTATCATTTTGTATAATAATAGCAGATATTGCACATGCCTTGTCATGCTGCGTTCATTGTTTTCTGAGCTTCTCATCTTTCAGACTATTTCCCCAGTCTCATTTTTATCAATGTGAAATATTGTACAGTAGCTTCTATATTGTTTACATTGCCAATTACCCCAGCAATAAAACAACCCATCTGTTATAGTAGTACTGTACTATAGTGTACTGTATTTCTGTTTTAGTCAATATTTGAATCAGTCAGGTTTTTTTTTTATCATTTTCTGTTTTACAGTTTTATTTTGTTATTAAATGAATTTTTGAAACTGCAGTCAAAGCATAGCTGAAGTCATTAGGAGGATAAGAAAAGTATGTATCTTTTAGCTTTAGTGTGGATAACTTAGAATCAAATTTCTTTCCTTTTAGAATATTGCATAGGGATGATTAAGATGCTTCCTTGTAAGCGATGTGTTTTCTTTGATAATCTTAAACCCGACATAGAAAACACATGAAAATTGATTTACAGTATATAGTATATTTACACAACATAGGGTGACATGCAAATTCTGAGAAATGTAGACATGGATTTATTGTGTTTTCAGAAACAAGCGAGAAAACATGCTTTTGGATCTCATTATTACCTATTGCACATGCTGTATGAATATGTAGGAATTCTGGTTTGACAAAAAGATAGCCCTAGGAAAGAAACTGGGTGGTTCAGGTTTCAATAGACTGGTAGTGTCTTCCTGAGAGAGGTTTATGAAACAGGTGGTAACCTGGGTGGAAGGGGTCATCAGCAGTCTTTCCTGCCCGCGTCTCTGCGCTGGAATTGTACAAATCATCAATGGAGGGCAGATGACAACCAGTGACCCTCTCCAGAGAGCGAACATCACCCTGCAGTTTGCCTTTGGTGCGGACTGACCCTTTGCCAAACCCAACACTTATAGAGGAAGTCAGAATGCTAGAACTGTATCAGAATTGATGGAGAGACACCAAAGTTTTCAGCTGGTGCAAAAAGTACATTCTTTGCTCTGCTTTCATTATGATACTGGTGATACTCATGTCCCATTTAAGAATCATTAAGGATATTAGAGA